CCTTGTACCATATTCGCGATTCAAGTTCAACACGTTAAACTTGTACCATATTCCTCGTGTTGTCTTCTTGATTTTATTTTCTATTTCATTTTGAAACCTTATACACTCGTCTGTTTATTCTGTAATGTTGTTGATTATACCGGTCACCACGTTAAACTTGTCCGCCCAATCCTCCATCTTGTCGTATCGATCATTGGTTTCGAAAGCTTGCCTACACAAGAATTGGTTACAATCATCCTTACTACTACTCTCTTGGTGAAGCAATCTCTCAAGTAGTCCCATTTGCTTTACTTGTGTTGTGATTTGTTATGTCAAACGAACTTTTACAAAATCTTGGACTCAATTTAAGCCAGACGAAGCTATAAATAAATGATTTGATGATCGGATCAAATATTAAGCCCTTCATATAAACAACATAAGTTCTAGAATTATCTAACAAGGATACCTAAATTAAGTTGAACATAAACACCGAATTATACTAAGACTCCTAACAATGATAAAATTACATCTTTTTATCGAATACTAAAAAGATAGACTCAAATAAAATTATCATATACACATTATTTTTTTTGTTCTTGTTTTAAAAATCTTTAATGATTTTTTTTTTTAATCAAACTAAAACCTCCTTGAGTGGAAGGAGTTAGTGTTTTCTTTTATTTTTATAATTTCATTAGAAGCCATGAGAAAAAAAAAGGATAAAATATTTTGATTGGAGTTAGAAAAGAGATAATAATAATAATAAAATATGATATAAAACTATCAAGCATAGTGATGTAAATTATTACAAAAAAACTTAAAACACACAAAGTAAACAACTAAAAAAACTAGAGAGAGTAACACGAACAATTAGATCTCATTAGCTGAGAGAAGTCCACCACTAAACACTATTTCAACCACTAAGACTCCTAATAATGATTACATTTTATCTTTTATCTAACATTTAAAAGATAGACTCAAATAAAATTATCATATACGTAGTACGGAGTATTTTTCTTATCTTTAAAAAAAAATTACCAGAGCATTCTTTTTGTTTTTGTTTTAAAATATGTTTTTTTTTTTTTTAGAATTCATGAAAAAGAAAGAAATGGTAAAATATTTTGATTGGAGTTTTGAAGCTAGTTAATCATTAGCTTACCGAACACTCATACCTTAAATATTATTTATCTATCTATTACCTATCTTCACAGCTAACAACCTATTACCAGTTTATCACAGTCCACAACTACCTTCAATGCTATACTTTGTCGAACACACCCTTAATTTCTAAATCTATTAATGTTAATTTTTGACAAAAATTACCTCCAAAGGCCAGCTAGCAGTATGTGATGTTCTTTACAAGCGGCATATTGGAGCGTTGAGTAGATGCAGTGTGTGTGGATGTAGTGCTGAGACTGTGGTTCATGCTCTCTTTGAATGCAAGTATGCAAGGCAGATATGGGGATGTAGCGAATTTGGGGATCTTATCCTCGAATGTCCGGCAGTAGGCTTTACTGATATTCTGTGGTGGTGTACAAAGAGATTAAGCAAGGAAAAAGAAAAAATCTTCTCTTCACTCTGCTGGGCTGCATGGCATTGCCGAAACATGCATATTTTGTAGGGTAATAGAAACTTCGATGCTGTTGGGGTGGCTACGGGCTTTGTTCAGCTTACTCTCGATTACGCGACATATAATGAGAAACTCAGGGGTGGGGTACAGAGGTCCATTGGCAGATTGAATAGCTCTTGGGCTTTACCCCCTAATGGCATAGTTAAGGTGAATGTTGATGCCCATATTATGGAAGGTGTGGGGGTGCAGTTTGGAGCAGCTGTCCGTGACTGTGAAGGAAGGTTATTAGCTGCAGCAGTGAAAAGATGCGAGTCTCAATGGTCCCCTGAGATGGCTGAAGCTGGTGCTATGAGGTATGGAGTGGAGTTGGTGCGCATACTGGGTTTTGAGAAAGTGATGCTGGAAAGTGATGCACTCACTGCTGTTCGCGTGATCCAAACGAAAAAAACAGGTGCTGCTCCAATTTTCCTTATCTTCGAGGATGTGTTGCAGATGAGTTCCGATTTTAGTTTCTTCTCTTGTAATCATGTTAGACGAGCGGGGAATACGGTCGCCCATTTTGTTGCTAGATGGGACACTAGTACTCACCTGGAACGAGTGTGCATGAACTCTTTTCCCCAAAGTCTACGAACTTTGGTGGATCTTGATTTGATTTAATATAATCTTGTTTTACTTGGCTTCAAAAAAACACTATTTCAACAACTATATATTGTCAAACATTTTTTTTTTTGTTGTTTTTGGTAAAAGCTACCTAAAAACTACTTAAAAACTAATATCGAACACGCCTAGGTCTCGAGCATGATATTTTAATTAATCATTAATTCATTATTATTTCTATTAATATTTTCTTCAACTCTTGATTATGAATGTTTAATGGCTAATAAAAATGAGCTCATCTAAACTATTTTACAATTTAAAATTTTATAATGGTTCAAATCATTCAACGTATCTTTGACAATAAATCATTACAATTTTTCAGCAAAATAGAAATACAATGAAGCTAGCGTATATAGGCTCGGTTCCTAGTTCCTTTGTTCCATAAAGCTTCAAGTCCTGCAAACCCGAAAACACAAAGCGAAGTTGAGAGAAGGCTTCGAGGGGCACGCAAGAGATTGGCGCTGCCAGCACTTAATCCGCAAATAGCAATATCATCCATGACGCACCTCTTCTTGCCACGAAAGTGGTACACAACGTTCCTTGATACACCCACTAGCAATTCATAACCTACAAAGAAAACGCATAGTCTATTTGCGTTCTTGAATTTCAAGGTATTGAATTCGGATACAAGTCTTAATGTTAGTGTCAAATAACATAAACTCCTTGATTAGAGTGATTGACATTGATCAATATTTATAGAGTTATCATGAGAGTCCTAATCATATTAGGTAGTAACAAGATATGTAAAGATATCATAAAGATATTCTTATACAAAATATATCCTAAACCTAGGATGAGAATATTCTACGGATATTCTCTATTACACCACCGCAGTTGGAGCGGGAGAAAATTGGATGCTCAGACTGGATCTGAATCATTGCATGCATCGAACGGTAAGGATAGTATGGTAACCCATGATAAAAAGAGAAGTAGAAGACGTGTGCCGGTGATGACGATAAGAAACCACGACCCGCTGCTAGGCCAGAGGAGAAGGAGAAGAGTCGCGCACAGACTTGAGCTAAGTTACAGATCCAGAGAAGAAGAAGCTAAGGGGTCAAACCATCATCGAGAATAAGACACTACACTACCACGGGAAATCACAGTTGAAGAAAAAACAAATAAGATAGCCTAAATCCCACACCACTTAACCATTAGGAACTATTTACCTCTAAAAAAAAAAATTGACCCACACAATAAGATATATTCCACCAAATTAAAACAAGTAGCGGCTGGATTTAGAGAATGAAAAATTCCACCTCATGTACTTGTGATAAAATTAACAATAAATTGAAAAGGTAAAAAAAAAAAAAAAATTGTTGTTAGTGCCAAAAATCCAACACTCCCTTTAAGTTATTGTAGTGTAGTTGAACAAGGCTCCAGTCAAAGTAGAAGACCTCCGTTGGGAATTGAAGGGGGCTAGGAGCAAGACGACAACATAATTAAGGTGGTGGAGGCCAACAATGACATCGAGAAAAAGAAGACTAACAAAGGGGTGGTTTGTCTCGTGGGTCTGGCTCATCCAAGACTACTATCAATCATTAGATACGCTATGCAAGATTGCAATTCACTCTCAGATTAAGCTAAAGAAGGAGGGCTATGAGTGAGCTAGGTGGCATATTAGATGGAGAACCAAGAGGTAGAGGTGGTGCACAAAGCTCCCGTGTGTGGTGGGAAGTTGGAGCACAAGAGGGGTTGCCGGTGATGGTCAACCAGCGTACCCCGTACAAAAGCGAAAAAAAAGTGTTTTTTTTTGGTGAATCCCGCCGGTGGGTATACTTTTCTAACCCACGGTAGGGGAAGAGAAATTTTTAGATCTAAACAATCCCAAGATCTAACCTAAGCTGTGATACCATGTCAGATAATATAAACTCCTTGATTAGAGTGATTTCCATTAATCAATATTTATGGAGTTACCATGAGAGTCCTAATCATATTAGGTAGTAACAAGATATGTAAGGATATTCTTATACAAAATATATCCTAAACCTAGCATGAGAATATTCTAAGGATATTTCTATTAGTTAGTGTAGCCGAGTGGCATTGGCGTCTATAAGCTTCAATGACGTCGGACGAAAATTCAAGCACAAAACTACTAATTAGACCATAGTCGCGTACGTCACGGGCAATGTGCACGTCTGAGGTTGTGCCTGGATATTGGCTTGGCATTAGAAGAAATTGGTTTTATATGTTCATGAATATGGAATTGTTGGTTGGAGAATTTGGTGTTTTTGTTTGTGGACTAGCTGTGTTTCTAGGCTCCATGTTTAAGTTTAGGGTGGATTTTGATGAATTAGGTTTAGAGGCTGGGGTTGTGCCTGGATATTGGTTTGGCTTTAGAACAAATTGGTTGTATATGTTCATGAATATGGTATGGTTGGTTGGAGAATTTGGTGTTTTTGTTCGTGGATTAGTCGTGTTTCTAGGCTCCATGTTTAAGTTTAGGGGTGGACTTTGATGAATTAGGTTTAGAGGCCTAAGAGATATAAATATAATTAACCTAATGATCTGACACTTTGTTTTTTTTGTTCCTTCTTTGTTTCGTAATAATCGCAACAATTTAACTTTTGCACTATTTATAGTATAACGTCATGTAAAATATTTTTGGATTAGTTTTTAGGTATATAATTTCTGTAGATAAACTTTTATAATTCTTTATTAATATATAATTACAAAGTAAAAAAAAAATTAAAAAAATTACTATGTGTAATGATAGAGCAATGTCTATAGGATAATGAAATACGTACAATGTTAGAGCAATGTCTATAGGATAATGAAATACGTATAATGTTAGAGCAATGTCTATAGGATAATGAAATATATACGTAGTAAAAAACACAAAAATCCTTAAAAAAAATTCCGTTGCCGGGACTTGAACCCGGGTCTCTCGGGTGAGAGCCGAGTATCCTGACCAACTAGACTACAACGGATCAGTTGCTAACAATTCTTCACGAATTTTGTAATATAAATAAAAATAAATAAAAATAACATTGCTAATATAAATAAAAATAACATCATAAACCCTCATTGAATGACACGTGTCCGTAAAATTCTCCAATTTCCCCTGATCCAAACACACCCCGCCCAAAAATCAACCTGAACACATACATTCCTTTCCCTTCCCTTCCCTTCCATTTCTCTTAATTTTCTCTCTCCTCCACTTTTTCTTCAACAATGCCTTCCATATAAATACCAAATCCTTCGATTTTCAACCTTCAGATCTACATTTTCATACATTTCTTCAGATAATCAACAATTTTAGAGAGAGAAAACAATGGAGGCGCAACTTGTTGAGAGGTTGGAGAAGGCAGTTGCTCGATTGGAGGCGATTTCTTCTTCGTCATCTTCTTCTAGAAGCGTCGATTTTTCCGGCGAAGATGCGGTGGTGGATCCTTCGATTGTCGCTTTGGATGATCTGATCGCCAATTATGTTGGTAGGGTTTACGACGCTGCTCAGAAGATCGGCGGTAAAGTGTTGGAATCTACGGAGATTCTTCGTGATGCGTTTTCTGCTTTGCGTGAGCTTCTTGTTAAAGTTAAGCAAACTCAGGTAATTGTTTGATGTTCGAATTTTAAGATTTGTTGATTTTATTTTTGGATTGAATTGTTAAGTTTGATTTGATTTTGATTGAGCGAATTTTTGTGAATTTGGTGCAATGTGGAAAATGTTTGGCGATGAGAACTTTCTGATTTAAGGAATTCATATTTCAATCATAAATTTTGATTGAGCGCATTTTTTTTGTTGATTTTGATTGGAAGTTGTTGTGTAATAAGGTTGTCGGATGATGATGATAAGGATGGTTGAAAGTTTGGAATTCGCGTTTGAATTTAGATTTTAAGACGCTTGATTTGAATTTATTTGTTTGTTTGTTTTTATTTAAATTGGAATAGTGCGTATTTAGGATGAGTAATGTACTAATGTGTATATGAATGTAAGATAAAGAATTTTGTCAAAGTTCAGATTCACTTGGATAACTCAATGAAGAATCATTGAAGCTGAGAGATTTTTTCGAAGCTCTTGATTTCTACAGAAATGATCTTGTTTTTGTATTGAGTAATGAATATCTGAAATAAGTAATTTAAGAACCTTAATTGTTTGTGTGCTTATTTTATATTCTTCAATAAGCTTGCAATTTAGACTGATCAACAATGTTTATAGGCAAATATATTACAATATATATGTTGAATGTTATCCAATATGAGGGGAATTGGACTGTCATCATGAAATTTTGATGCAAATCAACAGGCTTAGGAATGGAAGGATTTGACATTTTGACTGGTAATATGATGGGGGAGTGGTAGGATAGAGATTTAGTTTGCTATAGTAGCAATGTAGCATCTATGTAAGGGCCCCTTACGGTTTGAGTGCACTATGTCTTGTTTGTGTAAAAATACCTATGCAACATTTTCTATATATATATATATATATATATTTTTTTTTTTTTTTTTTTTGGGTTAAATTCCAATCTAGTGTGACTAACAGCTTCTTTATATGTATGTGTAGCCTTAAAAGACACAAATATTGGAAGGAAGTGTTATGTTACAAACTTTGCTTCACTTGGTTTATTTATATATGAGGTTTTTAGTCTCAATTAGTTGATATTTTACATTCCATCCTAATTATTCAAATTGGCAACTTTCACTTTTTAGAGCTCTGAGGTTCTTCTTTTGTGTGTTCAGAGCTAAAACATATTATCTCCACTTATTATTACCCTTGATTTTGACTTGCTAGCCTAAAATATCACTTGTATTGGAATAGAGGGAATTACGGTTAATAGATAATGGCATGGCTGGATATCTTTGCCGAGACTGGTCTTGTTTGAGTTTGAGATGTCCCAAGTGTCATATTCTTTACAGTTACGTGGCTGAAACTAGTACTAGGTACTGTGGTGAAGGTTTTGACTGTGGTGCCAAATTACTTGTGCACTGTGCTTAGATTTGTTTTATACTGAATGCATTTTTTTTTCTTTTCTGCAGAAACCTGACATGGCTGGGTTGGGTGAGTTTCTAAAACCACTGAATGAAGTGATTATGAAAGCTAATGCCTTGACTGAGGGGAGGCGGTCTGATTTCTTCAACCATCAGAAATCTATTTCCGACAGCCTTGCAGCTTTGGCATGGATTGCATATACTGGCAAAGACTGTGGTTAGTAATTAATACTCTCTAACCTCCTAATGCTGATTTATTTCTTTATCCCCTCCATCCTCTCCTGGTCTCCTAAATCATATCTTCTTGGTAGGTATGAGTATGCCTATTGCACATGTGGAAGAAAGCTGGCAAATGGCTGAATTTTATAGCAACAAGGTATTACTTGGCTTTTTTGGGCTTATGAATACAGATTATTTTGCAAGTATCTTAATACTGTAATTACAAACAACAAATTAATTGAGCATCTTTGGCTGAGTTTGAGTAATAAATTCTATTTCCAGTTCTTTTTTGGTCTTATCTGCTTCAAGGGGATGTCTTTTCATTGTGCACACTGATATGATTAAACTGTTTGAGCTTTACGGAAGTACTATCACTACTATGTATGCATTTTCTGATTTTACAGATTCCTACTGTTTCTTTAATGCTCAGGTTCTGATTGAGTACAAAAATAAGGATCCTAATCACGTGGAATGGGCCAAGGCTTTGAAGGAGCTCTATTTACCAGGTTTGAGGGATTATGTTAAGAGTTTCTATCCACTGGGACCAGTTTGGAGTACCTCTAGCAAAGCTACTGTTGCTGCTGCACCTAAAGCCCCAGGACCAGCTGCTCCTGCACCACCACCTCCACCTCCTGCTTCACTCTTCTCTGCTGATTCTGCTAAACCTTCTTCATCACAACCAAAGGTAGGGATGTCTGCTGTTTTTCAAGAAATCAGTTCTGGTGGAGCTGCTACATCAGGTATCTACATTACTACATGTTCCTTTTCCCCATTTCCTGTTTTTTGGTTAATTTTTGGTGACCAATCTCTTTCAATTCCAGGCCTGCGAAAGGTTACAGATGATATGAAGGCAAAGAACCGGGCTGACCGTAGTGGTGTTGTTCCTGTTGTGGATAAGGAACCTCGTGCTAAATCTTCTGCATTTTCCAAAACAGGGCCTCCAAAGCTGGAGCTTCAGATGGGTCGTAAGTGAGTGTCTTCCTGTCTTTGATACATGTGCATCCTTTGCTTTTGTCAGTTGTCACTGATCAGTGCTTTTATCTTCAATTTATTTGGTAGGTGGGCTGTTGAAAATCAAATTGGGAAGAGGGATTTGGTAATTAGTGAATGTGATTCAAAGCAGTCAGTTTATGTTTTTGGGTGTAAAGATTCAGTTTTGCTGATACAAGGTTTGTTGAGTTCTTACAAGTTGACTTTCTCTTGGTTTGGGGACTCATATCTATCTTTAAATTAACTGTAGTAAGCTCAGATTTTATCTTTGATTTATTACAGGAAAAGTTAACAATATCACTGCTGATAAATGCACTAAGACGGGGATTTTATTTAAGGTCAGTTTGCGTTTTTTTTTGAAAACTTTGCTTGTGTAAATCTTTCTACATCATGCTAGACCATGCTGATTTGACTTATGCATGTGATGACTTTTTCAACAGGATGTTGTAGCAGCCTGTGAGATTGTTAACTGCAATGGTGTGGAGGTCCAGTGCCAGGTAATTGTTTCACAATAAAAATGAAATATAAAGAAATGATGACGGCATAGTAATTTTATCGCTTGACTATAATTTGACATAACTAAAAATGAATTTCGTGAGTGGTGGGGAATTCTGAGTTTGGTAAATTTGAAATGCAGGGTTCAGCTCCAACAATTTCAGTGGACAATACATCTGGTTGTCAAATATATCTGAGCAAAGATTCTTTGGAGGCATCTATAACCACTGCCAAGTCAAGTGAGATCAATGTGATGGTACCTGCTTCTGAGGCTGATGGTGATTGGGTATGCAGCATGAATCTAATTATTTGGTCTAGTTCTGTTTTTTGGTAAATTTTGGTTTAGTACATGTGTTTTTTTTAACCTTAGTTTGTGTTGTAAAGAGTTTAGGTTGGGGATGAGGTATAGGTTAGTTTAAATTTGAGGATACTAGTGCTCAGTTCCTGGTAGTTGGAGAGGACAAGTACTGATGATGGTTAATATAACATTAATTAAATAGTCAAAGATGCCAAAGTTGACATAGACACCCCTTTGTATTGACGAATAACATTGGAAGGAAAATTCCATTTGCAATTTTGCTCCAAGCAAATTTTTTTTAGTGCTCAGTTCTTGGTTAGTTACCTTTAATTTGCTCAATGATCCGTAGTAGCATACGTCTCATATCAAACTTTTTTTTAAGAATTACCAAGCAAATTATAAAAATGACCCGCTAAGAGTTTAGCTTGGTATAGGCTATAAGCGTCAGCTGAGGGTACTAGAGAAAGATGCTAAGACTATGGCCGAAGGTCGCAAACATTGCATTGACCAACAGCTGAAATGTAAGCCTACCCATCCGTATAGGATCTCTAGAGAGTCTGGACACATTAATGGACCCTTGCAGTGCAAGTGAGACATGTTTCTTGCTCTCCTGGTGCCCATTAAACTGTGTCTGTCAAAGTGGTAAACCTGCCTATGATGTTGGTTTAGCAACTTTCTGCTGAGGAATTTTTCTGTTAGTCCCTGTTTGTTTAGTTGGAAAACATTTTTCAAGGCAAAACACAATTGTGAAAATAGTTTTCCTATGTTTCCTTACAAGAGAAATTATAGACAAAGAGAAAAATGGTAGTGTGAGGGAGAAGGGAGAAGGGTGAAGGGGTGGATGGGAGAAGAGGAAAGGGATGTTTGGAGTAGGGAATGAAATTTGACATTTCTTTCATTTTATTTTATGTAAAATTGCTTTCACTCATGGGAAAACTATTTTCACCTTTGGGAAAATTGTGATCCACCCTTTACAAACCAAACAATGGAAATTAGGAAAACCATTTTTCTAGAAAATGTTTTATGTCAAAATAAACGGAGCCTAAGACTTTCTTATTCTTTTTAGGGCTGAGCATCTTCATTTGTTTCTTAAACATCATGTGATTGAAGACACTGAATTATTTATAAAGTTATTAAATGGAAGTTTATATCTGAAATGTTTGAGTTCTAACATTTTTTCCTATTTTCAACTTGTAGGTAGAGCACTCCCTTCCGCAGCAGTACATTCACACATTCAAGGATGGTCAGTTCGTGACATCTCCAGTTTCCCACTCTGGTGGCTAAACTTTATAATCTCCCGCTGCAGATTTATTTAGGTTATCCGTGAGTCATCTCATGATTAAGTTTTGTTTGTCAAGGCTAAGAAGTGCATATTCCATACTTCCAGTCTGTTTTGAATATGTTACCACTGGGTTTTTGAAACAAAGGGTTTTGCATTAGGCTTTCTTACCCCCCCCCCCCCTCTTCTCTAATTTATTCTTTTATTGATTCAGCTGTTGTATTATGCATGCTGTTTGTGGGTGAGGTTGTTGCTTTGTACAAGGTGCCTTTGTTTGATTTTTCAAGCGCACTCCTGTAAGAACTCATACTTTGTATCGTTGTTTCTTCAGTGCTGTTATTAATAGTGTCTTTTTGGTTTGTTTGAAGTTCTTGGAATAGTGTCATTCATTCGTAGCTCTCTGCCTCGTCTTGTTGTCTTTGATATCCTTTCGCTTTTTTTTTTTTTTTTTTTTGAATACTTGATACTCTGCACATTTTGGAGCAGCCTCCAATTTGAATAAAAGGCGGGGAGTGGAAGCTGTAAGACACCTTCCCAAAGTAAACAGGTAAATAAAAAGAGGCATTGGTATAATTTTAGCCTTTTGGGCTTTTATGTAGAATTGACTAGAATGCCCTTTAAATCTGTTAAGTGATGTAAGTTTCCACGTTTTTCTGGTTGAAATCTGAGGTTATTAGTGTATTTCAAAGGCTTAGAATGAGGGTCATATGTGGACCTTTATTTCATTTTAGTGATTGATTAATCTTAAAAGGGAAGCACATCATTGTGGCTTTTTTTAGGTAGGGTTCAAAGTTTAGTATGTTAAGGAAATTGACTGGGTTTACTTTAAATTATAAAAAAAAAAAAAAAAAAAAAAATGGAAAAGGAAAAGAGAAGAGAGTTAGGCTCATTTTCTTTCTTTGCTCTAAAATAATTAGGCTACGTTATTAGGAAAAAGGAAAATAGAAGAGATTTAGGTTTAATTTTCTATCAAAACGTTAGTTGTTGCTTCTGGTTTGCTCATTATTGCGAATTTTAGGTGTTGTAAGCTGATAAGTGAAGTGATATTGGCTAAACAGCCTCGAGTTTGCAATTTTCTGTACCATTTTCTGCCTATATTACAGATATTCTTTATGGTTAAGCTATTAAGTTGAGAACTAACGCTCAGTCTAAACTTGGAGGATTCAGGTTTGGTGAGTTCAGTTTAGTTTGGAAAGACCGGGGAATCAGAATCATGAAAAGCACAAGGGTATTTTGAGAATTTATCAAAATAATCGGAGATGTTGTGGAGATTCTTGGCGGAATTTAGAGGGAATTAATTAGTCAAAAAGCTACTCATAATTTAGAGTTTTCCAAATGACAAACTACCCTTGTCTTCGCAGCTAAGGAAATCTCCAAGCAATGTCCTTTTCTAGGTAGACTTAAAAGACTTGAATACAAAGTCTTTCTACCGCCATCCTCATATGCTGTTAAAAACAGCTAACGGCTAAGTTTCTAACTTTGAAGTTTCTGAGTTTGAGTTCCCGACATCACCTTAATACGAACTGAGCCACCATATGGTCCCCTCTTTTAAAATCATCCACCATTTCATCTATCCTAAGAGTTATATACTCCGTACACTGCACTAAAAATAAAATTAATTATTAAAAAAAAAAGCAAATAATTTACAAGCTAAGATACCTTGGGTTTATATTTTTAAAAAATTTCGCACTAATTTCTACATCTCATCAATTTAAAATTGATATTTTTTTTTAACAATAAAATTGATGAACTTGAATACTAAAAGAAGCAGACTTTAATTGGCTTAACCCCAATAAAACAAAAAAGAAATTCATAACGATTTAAGCGAGACAAAAAGTTTGTACTCGTGACCTTGCCTCTTCTATGGTTATATACTAGTAATTTTCTATTGTTCACCTAAAAAACTTTCTTTTCATCCTTATCTTTATACGAGAAGTGTTATTCTTAGGTTGTGAATACTTTAAAAATATATTTAAAAAATTAACTCTTAAAAATACTTAAATTTGACCATTATTAAGACTTACACATCACCATTTTATTACCAAGATTGCCCAATTATAACATTCTCTCCACCATATTTTTTCAAAAACAAAAACGAGAAAAAAAAAAAGCATATATTATACGACCAAAAAACAAGGTATTTATATACCCACAATTAGCCATCAAGTTTGAAAGAGAAAAACAGTAACATATCATCATCACCACAACCCATAACCAAAGAAACCATGGAAAAAACTCAAAAAAGCCACCTTCTTCATCCTCAAATAAAACTTCCCTTGATTTTTTCTCTCCTCCTCTGTTCACTTCTTAGAGCAGAGGCTCAATCCTACCTAGGAATAAACTACGGGCTGTTGGCGGACAACCTCCCGCCACCGGAAGCGACAGCGAAACTGCTGAAAACAACACCGTTTACAAAGGTTCGGCTTTATGGAGCTGACCCTGGTATCATTAAAGCACTTGGTAATACTGGAATTGGCATTGTTATTGGTGCTGATAATGGTGATATTCCTGCTCTTGCTTCCGATCCAAGTCATGCTACTCAGTGGGTTAACTCCAACGTCTTGGCTTTCCCTGATAGTAAGATCATTCTCATTACTGTCGGTAATGAGGTCATCTCCTCAGGTTAGTTCGTTGGTTTAATTCTTTTTTTTTTTTTTTTTTTTTTTTTTAAATACTGTTCTTGTACCAAAAGTCTAAAAGTATAGTTTTTGCTAATATTAATATCATTATTTATAAATAATTTCTCATGATGAGTATTTGAGAGACTAATTATAATGCTATATGTTGGTACTCTTTGGTAGTTGTAGAATTTTTTTAACATATGTTGATCAATTTTGCCAAGTACTCCATTTGTTGTTTTGCCTTGATTAGTGTGCGTTTACAAATTTAATTTTTAGTTCTTATTAAACTTGTATACAGCGGGTGTATTGTATGCTAGTATTATAGTTTTTTTTTTCCCTTCAATGAGCGATGAGAGCACTATAAATTTCAAAAAAGAGGGTGGAATTTGAACTAACGACCTATTGAGGAAGTACTAATGAAGGTTTGATATGTATTTGCAAATACATATCAAACCTTAAAATATTAAAAAGTATTGTAAGCACATGGGGGTGAGAAAAAGGAGGAGAGAGATTGGCAAGTGGGACCAATTTTTAAATGTACCGCTAAAAGCTTATATAATATCATTGAATATGTAGTGATATTATTTCTATACGTAGTTGGTACCACTAAGTGAATATACAGTACCATTGAATGAATATATAGTACCACTGAATGTTCAATGATACTATTTGATCATCTAGTGATATTATTAATCACCCAATGGTACACTTAAAACCAACACGTGGGGGTGAGAGAAAAGGAGGAGAGAGATGGGTAAATTTCATGCGAAATGTCTCAAATGCCCCTTGATATGTATATACAAGTACTTATCAAACCTCTCTTTGGAAGGCCTCAACGACCTATTGTACACAACAAACTTAATTGTCTCAAATTGCTTAATAAAATTCATATTTCATGACGGTTTGGATTTTTGGAAATTAATGTGAAGAGATTGGTATGGCATGGTGGGAATAAAATTAATAAAAAAAACAAAGAAGAAATCTTTTGGTAATATTATAAAGCTGAATGATTCCATGATGATTCAAATTAATCAACCTTTTCTTGGTAAAAGTATAAAGCTAACAACTTGTGTGACTCAATTAAGCAATAGCCTCAATTGGAAAAAAGGTGAAAGAAAGAATGGAAGGAAGGAACAAAGAAAGACCATAACTTGTGTTGGGCATCTGGCAATTATTTTAGTTGTTTGTACCACGGAGTATTAAACTTTAGAAGTTTATACGCTAAAATTAGTTTTTAAATTAATAAATTTGTATGGTTTAAGTATACCTCTATAAAAAATAAAAGGGGAAATTTTTATTTAATTTTTTAAAGTTGAATAATCATTGACTGATAAAAAATTATGATATGCAGGGGACCAAGACTTGATATCTCAGCTAGTACCTGCAATGCAGAATATTCAAGATGCTCTTACTGCAGCTAAACTAGATGGAAAGATCCAGGTCTCAACGGTCCATTCCATGGCTGTTATGGGTCAGTCCGACCCGCCGTCATCTGGGGCATTTGTCTCAGAATTGGGAGACACCATGAAGAAACTACTTGAGTTTCAGAAAGAAAATGGGTCCCCATTTACCATTAACCCTTATCCGTTTTTCGCCTACCAGAGTGATCCAAGGCCTGACACTCTTGCATTTTGCCTGTTTCAACCAAATGCTGGACGGGTTGACCCGGGATCCAATATTAAGTACATGAACATGTTTGATGCCCAGGTGAGAATTTTGGTCCGTACTGTTTTTTTGGGTTTTCTAGGTCTCATTTTCATTAACAAACTATCCATTATACACTCAGGTGTATTATGTGCATGGTAAACTCGTTGCTTAGGTGTATGGTGATTTTTCCACAAAATCATAATTGGTTTAGACAAGAGTCAACAAGCTTTTAGGCCAATCTAGACTCAAGAGTGACCTATTTAATTAATTTCTTGCATCAATCATGTTTTGGTTTGATTAATATAATATTTGACTGTTTGATTTGAATGATATCATACAAGTCTAGTTTCTTTAGAATAGCTTAATCTGTGACACACTGACACGTATATATTTTATGCTTAATCATGTGTTATTCTAATCTAAGAGTTATATATTCATGCATGATGATGACATTGTACTGTATGCATAATCGTGTAGTTATCAATTATGAAAATCATCCATATATCCTGTAATAGCAGCATTCATTATATTATACGTTGCATCAGTTTATCAATTGCTTTTGAGATGATTATGGTAAGGTTTGTCTTGGAATTGCTTTGAAGTATTGCCTAACATCCTCACTGTCTGGCTTTCCTTTGAATGATTCTATGTAGTGCCAAAAGTGCACTGATAATGCGATGAACATACCATACTTTACTATCGTAGTTGGGCTAATGAGTATTAGAGTTCTCTTTTGCTTGGATGGTTTCTGTGGCTAGCATATCTGTTCTTTTAAATGATGTGAAGATATGCATTATAGCAATAAAGAAGAAAATTTTATATTTGTGACTTGGACTAGGACCAATGTTCCACTTCAAATTTGTTTTTCCCTCTTTGGCATATAAAGAGTTTTAAAGTTACTAAAGATTGATAACTAAAGCTAGCATTCTTGTACATTCATTGCTTTTTCTTTTTTCATCATCTAAATCATGGCTTTAAAACAGTTTATTTAGGCTATTGATTGTATTACATAATCTTTTTGTTAAACAACTGACTTACATGAGGTATTATGGGCTAATAATAGAATAATAGTGATTTGAGAAAAATAAAAAAAACCAGGTAACACCTCAAAAATAGACGAAAAAAGTGGGGTCTATATATTTTTTTTTTCAGCATGATTTATACTCTTTCTATCTTGTATTTAAATTAGCATCATCCATTTTGGGATGTTGTGCATGTAAAGTACCATAAACTTTAGATAAGTTTTTTTCTATTACCTTTTCACTCCCCTTAATCTTGATGTTAAATAGACTGGTAGAGTACATAACAGCCCTGTGTTATCCTTTATCTTTCGTAGACTTGTGAGTAGTGCTACTCTGTTACTCAAAATGAATATCCCTTTAAAAAGTTAAAGAGCTTATATCCATCATTTAATCTTTTATATGAAAATCTGTAATCCCATACCAGCAGCAATACCTACATATCTCTTATGCTCCACCTCGTCTCGTGGTCCTCGTCCACATGATATTTGCTGAATCTGTCTTTTAGGCATAACTTAATATGCAAGTATCCCTGAAAATTGGCTCCGTTCTTTTCACCTCATTATTGATGGGAACATTTGTGGTTTTGATGTGTTCTGTTTAAAGTGATTGATTACCAAGCGGGACAAAAAGGGCTAGTGCAATCAACTCATTCCTTTGTTTCCTTTTTGTCCTACTCCATGGTCCATCTGAGGAAAAAGAAAAGAAAATACAGTGTGGAAATCAATGGGAAGTAACTAGGAAAATAAAAAAGATCAGTATATCATCTTTTTTAAAAGTTGATGATCAGTTTATGCAATTTTGGAAGTTGTTCCTTTCATTTTATTCTCATGATTTTACTTCCTAAATTAAGAATTCTTGAAGAAAGAGCAATAAGGATTTTACTCATTGACATGATATTATTCTTTCTCCCTGAATTTATGTTGCTTGGATTTGGATACAGATGTTGCATTCAAGTCCGCGTCCTGGTCTCAAACTAAGCCCCATTTTTATGAAAAAAATTGCATATTTTTTGCCTCAAAAATGAAGTGTAAGTGTTGTTACCCATGTCAGTTTTTTGAGTATGAAGTGCAGACAGATGAATTGATATTGAGTATTCCAAGTAATTTAACACTGCTAGTAGTAGAAGTAATACACTTGTAGTAGTAATGAAATTATTGAGGCTGACCAGTTGAGAATCTCAGGTTGATGCAATACGCTCTGCCCTGAATGCATTGGGATTTAAAGACATCGATATAGTGGTTGCTGAGACTGGGTGGCCATACCGTGGGGACAGCAACGAAGTTGGTCCTAGCATTGAAAATGCTAAGGCTTATAACGGAGGCCTGATTTCACATCTCAGATCCATGGCTGGGACCCCATTGATGCCTGGAAAATCAGTAGATACATACATTTTTGCTCTGTATGACGAAGATCTGAAGCCTGGTCCAACTTCTGAGAAGTCGTTTGGTCTTTTTAAGCCTGACTTATCGATGACCTATGATATAGGCCTCACCAAGGGCTTCAGCCAGGTGAGAATTTATTCAGATCAATTTCTGATGTGATCTGAGTTTTGAGAATTAGCTTAATCCTTTGGTGGTAAATTGTTTTGTCACTGTCATAAAAAAAAAAATATACTCGTGTAGAAACAGAATTTCCTTTTCATTATAGAAATATACAGGAACATATGATCGTTCACTCTACTTGCAGTAATGAATCTAAATCATTATGCATCGTATGGATTATTATGCCTCATTGTGTGGATTAATTAAGGAAGTGAGTATTCATTAGAAATTGGATATATAACCAATACAAGTATCGTGTCCATAAACCAGTAACGAAAAATCCTAATATGTTGCGGATTTTAACATAGCATTCATCAGTATTGAAGTCATGTGTGTCGGTGTGCCATATGATTTTGTTATACATTGTTTTCGATATTTCAAACTAAAAGGGGTTCAATGTTGATCAGAGTTTGAAACTCTATCATTGGATTTAACAAGTGTTAAGGCAGTCTGAAATATCATGTCAGAAAATCCCAAAAAATGGTCCTGAAATCACACCCTACTGATTTTGTGGTTTGATATTCTTGTGTAGCATAGAAATGTAGTCAACTTTCGGTGTTAATTAGCAGTAACTAGTTGATTAAGAAAACTGATTGAGCATTATTGTCTTTTAGGCCCCAACATCATCTCCATCAAAAAGTCCAGCAAATTCTTCAACAAGTCCAGCTCCATCAACAACTACGTCTCCCTCAAAAATTCCATCAGCTCCCTCAAAAACTCCATTAGCTCCCTCAGCAACTCCAACAGCAGTACCAGGGACTCCTCCAAAATCTTCAGGAACGTGGTGTGTGCCAAAGAAAGGTGTCTCAGTCACCCAATTGCAGGCCAATCTGAACTACGCTTGTAGTCAGGGCATTGACTGCAGCAAAATTCAAGCTGGTGGACCTTGTTATGACCCCAACACAGTGGCTTCTCATGCAGCTTATGCCATGAATCTCCTTTATCAGAAGGCTGGCAGAACTCCCGGGAGCTGTGACTTCACGCAGACAGCTACAGTTACATCCACTAATCCAAGTAAGCTCTTGTTAATTTATCAGTTCATCCATAACTATTTTGAGAAATTTTTTAAACTCGCCTTTTTATTTCTAAATTTCACTTAAATCATTCATGTACTCAATACTTTGTGATACTCTTACTTTCTTTCGTGCTTATTTATTATCAAGTCTAAAGCTCTTTTTAACACTTTTGTAGGTTATGGTTCTTGTGTTTATCCTAGTGATGGGAATGCCAGAGTATCGTTGGGAGCTGGCTTAAATAAATCTAGTGCGTCAAAAGTTCATTTTAGTTTGCATTGGTCATGCTGGTGGTGTTTATGTTTCGTACTTTCCTCTTTCTTCGTTGAATCTTGAAAGCTCAGCTACCTCCCTCTCCCTGATATACGCTTCTCTCTTGCTCGCGGATCACCCACTCTAGTCTTGCAGCTCACTACTAATTAGCAAGGACATGAACATTTGGTGACTGAAATGAGTCACTAGCTAAATATTTATAGGTTTATATATATAGTAACAATCCTTTGAGTTTTGCACTAGTTTGTGGTTGTAAAGTTGTATGCAGGAAAATCTTGCTCCTTAGACCATTCTCAGCAGTGAGGAAAAAAAAAACCTCTCAATCTCTCTCTACCCACTTTCTCACTCCTCCCATACAATTTCTCTCATCAAATGTTTTTTTCACCACAACAATGAGGAGAAAAAAAACCTCTCATCACTTTCTCCTCCACTATTTTTTAATTTATTTTTTAATTACGTTTAAAAATAATTTAATAAAAATTTATAATTACGTTTAAAAATATTAATAATACTAACTGGAAATTTTTTTTATAAGAAATAATTATAATAATAATAATAACAAGAAGAAATTGGGAAAATATGTTAATTTCTCTAATTTATGGGTTTTTTTGAAAGTATATCAAAATGCATGTCTATTTATAGAGAAAAAAATTTTATGGTCGTTGGTGAATTTTTTTTTTTTTTAAAAATAATTACAACGGTTATATTTCAAATACAAAATATAACCGTTGTAAAAAAACAACAAAAGCAGTGGGGGCCACATGTTACTGTTCATCACCAAAAGCCCTCAACTCTTGAGGGTTTTTATTTTCACTCATCGGTGAGTGTTTTTTCACTCACTGATGTAGTGTTCGGATTTTTTTTTTTACACCCTTATTTTTACTCGTGAGGGCTTTTCTCCTCACTGCTGGGAGTGCTCTTAATATTTTAACTCTCATGGGTGTTTTAACTAAATTTTCTATTGTTTAAGAGTTATTTGTGGATGTGTAACCTTTGTTAGCTTCTTTTATTTATTTATATATTTTTGAAGCTGAAATTCTTGTAGATGTTATATGCCTGGTATAACTATCATCAATTCATTTTCAATATATTTTGCCAAGTATAACACCATAGCCAAACAATACTAACTATTGGAGCACGTTCTTGTGGATGTTTACTGCCAAGCATAATTTATTGAACATATTTGAACATATTGAAATAAAATCGTTTTGCCACCGTGTTCATTTTGTGAACATTTTTCAATTTAACACATTGTATGATTTGTATCATTTATATTGATAGTGTCTACTCGAAATGCAAAGTTTTGCCGCAAAAAGATCTTGTAGTATTTTCAAAAGAACAACAAAATCCCATATAAAGAGTATAAATTATAGGAAATGAAACTGGTTTATTGGATTAGAAAAATAGTCCTAGCAGGATTTAAATCTAGAAACACAAACTAGATTGTTGAATACTAGGTCAACGGAAATAAGAAAAGTAGAACAAAAAAGAGTTGTCAAAACTCAGAGAAGCACTATATATTGTGATTAGGGGATTTTGCTCCCACCAATCGGAATGCGCCACGTGGGCCAATCAGGTCCTGCCAAGTGTCCCTCAGTTGGAACTGTCAGGGCTTGCCACGTGGCACGCGCTTATTCGTCCATCTTGGACCTATTATGTCATGACATGTGGCATACTCCATGCCCAATGGAGAAACCGGCCACCCAGGCCCAACTTCCGAGGGAAGCCCAATCGGCCCTAGGTTAACCTAAACCTAGGATGGGCACGTTTCCCAAGGTTATAAATACCTCCCTTAATCCTCATTAAGGGGGATTACGAAACAGAACGGAAAAAACACATTAATTACACACAGTAATAACCGGCTGATCTCGCTAACAAAGCAGATTACCTACATTAAACACTCTCACCTAGAGAGACCCAATCACTTTAATTTCCGCATTAATTACTCCTTAATCAAGTACTAACTTGACCGTTGGAGGCGGAGCTCCCAGGAGTCTCCGTTATTTTGCAGGTACAGGCGTCCGATTCCAGTCTCGGAATTGTAACTCTCCCGCAGGACATCAGAAAACCCCGAAACATTTGGCGCCGTCTGTGGGGAGAGTACTTCTGAGATGGCATCCAAGTCTGTACCGACTCCTGAAGAGAGGCGTCCCCTAGACGACCCTCAAGTTCAGTCGGACCATGATACCGAGAGTGAATTTGAAGTTGAAGCTCACACAGCTTCAGACGGGACCCTAAGGGCCCGACGTACCCGTCATACCGAAAGGAGGGAACGGGAACATCATCAAACTGGAAGTGAGCCAGCAGGCGCACCGCCTGTTCGGCAATAGCCGACTGATGGGTCTGCTCCCATCACAAGGAACGAACTCATGACCTTCGTGAGGGACTTCAAGGGAGAGATTCAAGAGTTGATCAACAAGAAGCCGCCTGCTCCAGTCAAGGAGCAGTCGGCCAAGAAACCCTCCACTTCACTGAAGAGGAAGCCAGTTCAAGGGCGAGAGGCGACTCCTCATCCTAAATCTAGGAAGCGGGAGCCACCTGCCCTTGATTTCACAAAATTCCGTTATCCTACAGGAAATAGGAAACATGTTCGTCATATTCAGGCGGACGGGTCGAAGCAAACATTCACAGACGCTCGGCTACTGCTAGAGCAGAAGAAGAGTGACCGATTGTCAGAGTCGGCCTCTACTTCAAACTTTCAAAATAGTCTGCGAAATGCCTCTATGAAGCATACTCAGTCGTATCATGAGAGCCAGTCAGGCGGCACCTCCCGTCAGTCTGGCTTTCATAGCGACCAGGCGGTACCAAACTTACCGTTTGTGCCGCAACAACAGTATTTTTTGCAGCCACCTCCGTTTGGTGGACCTGCAGCAAAAAACGTCCAACCTATGGACTGGCAGCTACGGTTGCTTAGACTTGGTGAACAGCCGTCGGCCTTCTCCAAGGAAATTACTGAAGCCGCTCAGCCGGCCAAAGTGAAAAATGTACTAGTAGGCGCCTATGACGGCACTACTAACCCAGAAGACCATCTGATGGCGTTCACCAACCTGATGTACCTTCAAGGGTTGGATGATCCCACTTGGTGCAAGTGTTTCCCAGCGACTCTCAAAGGAATCGCACAACAATGGTTCGGCAACCTGCCGACTGGTTGTGTAAATAGCTTCAGGACGCTTGCTTACTTATTCACCTCCAACTTCGCCATGAACATCCCTGCGAAGAAAACGACCCTTGATTTGGGAACAATTCGGCAGGGCGAGAAGGAGGGGCTTCGTTCTTACATCAGGCGGTTTAACCTGATGAGAATACAGATTCAAGGGTTACCGGATGAGGTAGCCTATACTGACTTTTTCAGAGGTCTCAAAGACGGGTCTACCTTCAAATTTGATTTGGTTCGAAAAAGGGTGGCGACTCTTCAAGAGGCCTTGATTGAAGCAGAAGCCTATATACAGGCGACTGATCTTTGCACGGTAAAACAGTCGGACGGGAAAAGGTTCGACAAAAGAGAGGGACGACAGAAACAGTCGTCAAACAAAGATGAGAAAAGAAAAGAGGTCTGGGCGGCTGATTCCTCTAAACAGCCGGCCCAGAAAAAGAAAAAAGAATTCAAACCATACTCCCCAAAGTATGCGTTTAACAAGGATAACCAGTTTATCCTAAAAGAAATCAAGGGACGGATCTCAATTGAGAAGCCGGTCCCCATGAAGGGTTCTGCAAACAACCGGAACCAAGATAAATTCTGTGCTTATCATGATGATGTTGGTCATCACACCAATGACTGCATCAGTCTCATGCGGTATCTGGACCGCCTGGCTGAGCAAGGTGATCTTGACACTTATGTCAAGAAATCTACGGGGAACACTTCCTCAAAAAAGCAGTCGGCCAAAAAGAATCAACAGGCCGACAGCTCCGATACAGATGATGCAGTCGTCTACACCATTGCAGGCGGCTTCTCAGGAGGCGGCCCCACTATTAGGGGCAACAAAGACAATATCAGGCGGTTAGATGTAAATTCCGTTCACCAAGAACGGCCGTCCAAATATTCATTTCCTGAGATTGTCATCACTGAAGAAGATCTAGGAGGGGTAAGAGGGTCGCATGACGACCCTATCGTCATTGAATGTAAAGTGGCCAACCAGAGAGTCGGCCGAATCCTCATAGATTACGGAAGCTCCTCAGATCTCATCAGTAGCAAATGTCTGTCGAAACTAAAATATCAGACTGATTGCATACATCCGGCCTCCCACCCTTTAGTAGGGTTTGGAGGAGGAGGAGTCCACCCACTGGGACGAGTGGATTTACCCATCCGCCTGGGTGAAAAAGGGGAAGGACGACACATGGTAGTAGAAGAACTCTCGGCCTACAACATGATTCTGGGTCGACCAACCCTGAATAATTCCAAGGCTGTTATAATCCCATCTCTTATGTTGCTCAAGTTTGAGAGGGATAATGGAACAGTCGGCTCCCTAAGGGGAGATCAGAGGATGGCCCGAGAGTGCTATCTCTCGGATGTCAAGCCCACTGTTATGGCCACTGGGTCAAGCGGTGAAAAAACAGACCTTGACAATGTCAAGGACAGTGCGCCTGTTCAAGAAGCAGGCGGCAAGAAGAGAAAGGCATCCCAAACAGGGGCCGCAAGAAAAGAAAGAAAATAGCAATCATTGGCAGAGGAGCGGTCGGATGAGTTCCGCCCTCAGCCGGCTGGTGAGCATGCGGACCTGATCTTAGACGACTCACGTCCTGACCGAACAGTCAAAGTTGGGACGACTGCTCTGAGAGACCTTGGTGACGACTTTCACAAACTATTGAAAGAATACAAGGACATCTTTGCATTCGAAGTCCATGAAATGCCAGGCATTAGTCCTGATCTGGCGGTGCATAAACTGGCCGTGGATCCGAAAAAGAAGCCGGTACGGCAAAAGAAACGGAACCATGGCGAAGAAAGAAGTCAGGCGGCAGCCGCCGAAGTTAAAAAATTACTTGATGCAGGGTTCATTCGGCAATGTTACTTCCCAGACTGGGTTGCAAATGTGGTGCTTGTTAAAAAGCCGAATGGCACCTGGCGAATGTGTGTAGACTACACAGACTTAAACAAGGCGTGCCCCAAAGACAGTTACCCTCTGCCTAAAATTGATAATCTGGTCGCCTCAACAGCCGGCCATGCTTTGATGAGCTTTATGGACGCCTACTCTGGTTTCCATCAAATTCCTTTATGGAAGAAATATCAGGAGAAGACGGCCTTCGTCACTGATCAGGGGTTATACTGTTACACGGTCATGCCGTTTGGTCTTAAGAATGCCACGGCTACCTTCCAGCGAATGATAAACACTGTGTTC